GGATCTGGCAATCAAAGGACGTGATTAATTTAGGGAGCAGAGCAGTGTGGACCTACTGCTGTTCCAGTCTCATTAAAAGGCAAACGAGCAGAAGCCTACGTGTCACATTCCTGAGATGATTATCTGCTTTTGGTCTTTTGAACATCCTTGCAGCAGCTTAACTCCACAGCGGCTGGTGAGGGCTGGGTGGTGCGTGGACTGAACACGGCGATTTTCTCACGACTTTTCCACTGTCTCTTAGAAAGTGATGCTTGATCACCCTTTGACAGGCAGCAGTTCCCCACTGAACGAGCAGAAGTTGCCCTGAGTGGAGATCAGCCCGTAGCGGGACCGGGATCTCTGTCCCCAGACGGATCGCTGGCCCAGACACGGTGCTCATCTCGACTGACTTAGTGGCCCAGGTTTTCCTGGGGAGCTCCTCTCTGCAGCGGGCAGAGTCCACACTTAGGTTCTCGCACCCGTTACCTGGCAGAGGGACGGGGAGGTGCTGCGTGGGAGCGTGTCCGTGGAGCCTTCGGCGCGGTCAGCCTCAGCCCTCCTTGGTGAAGGAAAAGCAGATTCTTGCCCAGTATCCCGTCGGTGTTTGTGCCCCACAAGCTGAGCAAAACTGCCCTGTCTGACTGGGTCAGACATTCTCAGAATGCTGCTCTGTCTTCTTTAACTGGAATATTTTGAACCTCCCACACGTTTCTCGTGCTGGGAGCGTAGGTGTGGGTTTGCTGGTGGGCAGCGCCGCAGTGCGCGTGCTGACGGCTGCGTTGCTGCTGGGCTCTTCCATCTTTTCTGTATTCCGGGAACACGGTGATTCTCCTGCATGCTTTTGGGAAGAATTTCTTGTGTTCAGTGAACGCGTGTGTTTGGGTCCGTAACTCGTGTTAAATTATCACGTGTGAGTAGTTGCTGAGGAATATCATAAAGTGAATTGTAACTCTGGTTTCCTGGTGCGACATAGCTGCTTTGTGCAGCTGAACGTGTCTTTAAAAGGTTTTTCCTTAGTCACGTTAAAGATCACTTAAGATTAACTTCAGTTGTAATTAAGCAGTAACTGTTTTCCGCTTGACGAACCCTGCTAACCCCTGTTTTAGCTGCTTTCCAGCAAAGCCATTTTAGAGCCCTTAACCTCTGTTTCACGTGGAATTTTCGTATTGGAGGTTCCTTGTGCAGTCGCTGCTTGTGGGACCCGCCACGCAGCCGAGCGCGGCACCGGCTTGCATTTATCAAACTCTGAAACTTACACTGTGAAATCCGGTTTGCATTTCCCCTCTGCCTTGTTCCCGTTCAGAAAACAAAATCCTGTCACAGGATCTCACCTGCACTTTTTTCCATTCCCTCTGAGTTTTTGGGGACTTTTTTAACCCTTTAATTCATGCGTGGAGCACACGAGGCTGTGGGCAGGGTTGGTGCAAACTTACTGCAAGAAAGGGAATGTGGTTCTCTTTGCATCCCTTCCCTTAAAATACATTTTTGTGCTAAAGTCTACAGGGACAGCATAAACCCTAGTAATGGATTATGTAGTGTAGTAGGAAAGTCATGTGCTTTTAGGAAACTTCTACTTTGAAAAATTGCTTTTGTAATTAACAGTATTTTTTGAAAAGTTTGAAAGAAGAATGCCGTGTGTTCAGTCATTCCCCCAGAAGCACCGCGGCTCCTTGTTAGCCTATAGACGCCACTGTCTCCAGGAGGTGTTGGCATGGGAACTTCGGAGTGTAGCTCCCGCGAGTACGCTGTGCCATACCTCCAGAAAGTTGCCACCTATGTCTGTCTGCATAAAATGTGCATTGGGACGAAGTGGAGAATTTCCACGTGATCTTCAGAGTGATTTGTGGGGGATGTCGCAGATGCTCCACATCCGAGCAGCGTTCCCCAGGAATACCAGTGGCGTTATTTTGCTGAGACTTACTGTCGAACAGCAACATAAAGTCATCACAGATTGAATTCTTAGAACTTATTTGCATCTCTCAACTTTGAGCTTTGCTGTTTTACCAACATTGCTGATTTAGCAACTGACTTCCTTGTGTCGAGTTCTAGTAGCACCGTGAGGATACTCGTGCAACACGTGTACGTTGGCATTTCCACGACAGGTTGGGTGTGTAAACAGCTGTCGTCGTCCTGCCCTTGTGCTGCCTCTGTCCTTCCCAGCGCCGTGTTCTGCTGCAGTGGCACCGGAGCCTTTTTTTTCTTCTGCAGTCACTTAGTTTTCCTTACCGAGCTGCAGCGTGCGCGTCCTCGCTTAAACAGTTCCTTTGTGGTTAATTTAAATTAAAGCTGAAAACAAGGGGCTTGTGCCTGTTCATGGTGCGGAACCTGGCGGGTATAAAGCGCATTATTCCTCTTGACTGGCCCCTGTGCTGCGTGTGTCATCCTTCAGAGGCAGCTCAGCGGCACAACAAACACCAACCCGACGTTTATTAGGTCGTTCCGCAGAGTCTGATACATGAGGTTCTCCTAAAAGCCTTCGTGAAACGATGTCAAGGAGCATGTTCAGCTGCTGGAGGGAGAAACATCCGGCTTTTGCGTAAGAACGAGCTCTGGAGGTCGCCCGAAGCTCCTGACTGTTGCTGGGTTTTGTGCTTTCTGCCGCACACGTTCCCTCTGTGCCGTTCTGTCCTCCTCTCTCTGCCCGCTGTTTTCTTTGACTTCCTTCTCCTTTCCCCAGGCAATCCTTTCAATCTTCAATTTAATTGTCTTGGTCTCGGATAGTCCAATCTTTGAGGTTTTTAACCCCTCAATGTCGGCATCTCCTTAGTAGCAGCTTTGCTTTTACGTTTTTTGGACTGAGTTGATATTTATTGAAAAGGGTTTATCAGCTTTTCAATTTTAAAACATGAAGAGGGTGAGATCAGCAAATAAATAAAGTCTCTGCAATTCTGCATCCAGTGCAGAGTTTCACCTCTTGCCAAGTTTTTCTGACGTGCGACGCTCCGAACGTAGCGAACAACCGTATCCGTCTGCCGGAGTGGAACACGCGTGTGTGGATCTGCCGGAGTGAAATACGCCGGTGGTGTTCAAGGCGGTGCTACGGATGGGGCTTCGACAGGGAGGTGGATGGACTGGTGTAGTGGTAAAACATTTTTTAATGTTGAGAAACCATCTTGTCTACAAACAATAAAGTGATTTGTAGTAACAAATGGAAAATATTTTTCTTGCTGGAGATTACACCATTTGTTTTCATTTTCTGTGACATGTTTTGCTCGTTATGCTGCAGGAAGCAAATCCAAAGTTTTATAAAGAACAGCTCATGATGGCAAAATCGGGAATTGAGCCGGGGGCTGGCTGTCACCGCAGCAGAGCGCGGCGGCGCGGGGAGCACCGCAGAGCTGCCACGGGGTTCGTGTTGGGAAGGAGTCGGGGACGGGGCTGTCACCCCACCCGCCCCGGTGGGAATTACTGTCGCTCGTGGGACTCCCGGAGAGCTGTGGGGACGGCACGGCGGCATCGCCTCGATGCTGCAGAGTGCTTTTTGTGTTTCTGGACGTAATTTTAAAACAAATGGCAGTGTTGGAGGGTGGGAGATGGGCCTCACGGGGAGCTCCGGGAAGCGCTGGGTGTGCCTGGGGCATGTGTGTGGTGGTGGGATTTTTCTTTGTTTGCCTGGGGGCTTAGGGTGGTTTTGGGTGAGTTTTGGTTGATGTATGGACAGCACAGACCTTGAAGAGGGGGCTGATAGGTAATCTTGGGTTCACTTTTAAATCCTTTCTGGCATGTCGTCATTTTGCTCGGAGGGAGGAGGGTGCCAACTGAAATAGGGTTTGCGGCTGGCGAACGGCGGTAGCCGGAGACACCTTTGAGAGATGAGCGTGAGGTGTGTGCCTGCCCTTACCTGGGCAAGAAGGGATGGGAAAGTACGAACTCACCAAAACGTGCCACCAGCTTTGCAGCAGTGACACGCGGCTGGGAAGACTTGGTTGGTGGTGGAGGGAATTTTGGGTTTAGGTGGTTTCGGTCTGTTGGTTTTTTTCCAAACTCGACATTTCACGTAGGTCCAGTCGTCTCAGTCTGAGGTGCAGGGCAGCTTTGTGTCTGGGGTGGATCTGTGCCCCGTTTCATTCGCAGCCTTTTGAGGTGGACTCTTCAGCAGCCGGGCTCCGAAGGCTCCCGTCAGAGTGGCTCCCACGGCGGGTCGGAGCAGTTTTCAACCTGTTGCTGCCGTAATTTAACAGGAGCCGTTGTCTGTTCCACCTTTTGTTCCCGCTGTTGTGATGGCCCAGCGCCCGCCTGCGACTGCCCATCTTCTGGATGGCATTTGGGAGACAAAGACCGAGTCCTTTTCCCTAAAGCCCTGAGTGCTCTGCTGCAGTACGGACTTACATTTGTCAAGGTCACTGAGCCCTGTTTAATGTGCGTTCTGGGAAGATGACAGGGGACAAAAGATTGGTTTGTACCCTTCTGTCAGAAGGATGAGGCAGGAGTAGGAGAGCTCAGTTATTTGTGTGCTGAAGGGGCCATGGTTATCTAGTGATGTGACAGATTCGCTAACGATACCTGACAGAAGTATTGCAAAGGAGTAATGGTAAAAACCCCTCTCTTCTGTCATGCAGTGTTTTTAAAAAGAAAATATCTTCTTGTTATAATATCAAGAATGCAGATTCCAATGTGAACTCGAGTGGGGGTGCCCAGCCAGTAGGTGTAAATTGAACAGAAAGCATTACCGCTGGATTTTGAAGCGGTTTCCTGTCTATAGAGACTGTTAATTTTGGTAACAGATTTGATTTTTGTTTGATTTCCAAACAATTCCAGGATACGGTCACTGTCTTGCTTGGGACACACTGAGGTTGGATGGTTGTTGCTCAGCTGTGTTTAAAATCACTGCGCCAGTTTGCAGCAGCAGAGGGTCAGCCTTTGGCAGCATGGAATGGCTTTTCGTTCAGGTCGTTTTATTTAAAATGACCCAACTCTTTCTGCTGCTTTCTTTTTCTGAAATGTTTGTAGCAGTGAAATGCCAATCTTGTTGCGAGATCCTGCTAAATTTTTACAAGTCAATCTTGTTTTTATTTTTTAAGGAAAAGTCATCAACAAAGACTTGCGCCACTACTTGAGCCTTCAGTTCCAGAAGGGCTCGATAGACCATAAACTCCAGCAAGTGATCAGAGACAACCTCTACTTGAGAACCATCCCTTGTAAGTATGTAAAGATCAGCCTCGTTTGCTCTGTTGCTGCTGACTGTCGCGTAATTCGGGCGCTTTAGGTGCCCGTCTCCTAATCTGGTTTATAGTTTCCCAGTGCAGCAGGAACCCCTGCAATTGGCTTTGCCAGAGGTTTCGTATCCGAAGTTGCAATGAAAGGGTACGGCCGATACGGACTGACCAAAGAGCGGAAACTTCAGCGTTCAGAGCTCAGAGTGTTTCAGGAATATCTGTGTTTTGCTCATCGGAATGTTGTCGTAGAATAACCACAGCCACCGTGGGAAATCAACCTTCCTCGGTATGATGCAGCAGTGCAGCCACATCTTAATTTGTGTCAGTGTATTGGTTTTTGCACGAAGAGGAAGCTGAGGCCGTGGAGGGTCTCCGCGTTAGGCTGTCACGCAGCTGGAAGGAGAGTTGCAGAGGGGCTACATGCAGAAAGGGTCGCGATGGCAGAAGGAACAGCGGAACTGTTGTTTGCCCAACCTGAGAAGACAGTACACGGAGGTGGCAGCAGGAGGGAGAGCGGGTCCGTGGCCCAGAAAGAAAAGGAAGAAGCAGCACATGGACAGACTTTAGCGTCACAGCAAGAACTAATTAGTCAGAGAATCTGGATGGACCTGTCTCATCAGTTGTGCCAGCCCTTCTGCTCTGAGCATCTGCCAGCATCTCCTGGTCCAACCGGCGCAGGTGCTAACTCGCCTTTAGCAAGGTGCCCAGGGGTTACTGCTCCGGCGAGGGCAGGGCTGTGGAAAGCACCCTTCGAGGTACAGGGCGCTCTGGCAGCTGCCAAATATCCCGTCGTAGCTTCTCACCCTTCTGTGCCGTTTCGTTTCTGAATTATCGCAAGATCATCCTTTACCTTATCTCAAAGGTTCACTGATTAAAAGGGCTCATCTCTGATCGTATATAAATATTCATTGCACTCAAAACTCGTTTGTCAACTAACGTTTTTGTAACGACAGGAATTCCATTCTCAATTTAGCATCGTTATCATGCTGAGCATGCCCAAGAGTTTGACTCTCTTAAAAGATGCCAATAGTGGAAGGCAGTTTGTTTACCAGCAGCTCTTGTTTGTGCTGCTGCCTGAAAAAAACTAACATGTGCCTTTAAAATGCTGTTAGGTTAGAGGCAGTAATGAATCAGGGGAGTCCTTTCCAGGAGAGCTTTAATTAAGCTCTGATGACTATGGGAGGCCTGTATTTACAGACAGAACAGTTTGAGAGCTGCATTAACACAGCAATTTACTGATTACTTTGGAAAAGCTTACCTGTAGCTAAGGTTTGGAGCGTAGGTGAACCGTGCTCTGAACTGTAAGGTTGCAGTAGCGGTTTTGTGCCCAGTTATGGATTTGGTGGCCCAAAAATCAAATGTGCTTGGTCATGCTGACCTCGTTACAAACTCCTGAGTTGGTGCTGGTGGCATCAGCACCCTTACAGCTGCGTGAAACACCACAGCTCTCACGCAGTTGCCCGGAGTCCCGGCGGCGAGTGCCTGGCCCCAGCAGCGTCGGCTTCCGCAGAGGAAGTGTTCGGTTCACTGAGCATAAGAAAGAATTCTCTCTTAATTACCACCTCACCCAGCTTTTTTTCTCCTCCTTCCTCAATACCAGATCTGTCATTCCTGCCTAATTTATTGGCCTAGTTTTCATACGTTATCGTTCGTTTGCTTGCCGGTGTTTTAACTCTTATCTTACTGGAGTGACATCATCGTTGTATGAAGATCCAAAAATGTATTGTTTTTACTGAATTGTACAGCAGGCAGCATTTGGTAAGCAGGCAGCACGTAAGTATCTTACAAGAGTGTTTTCTCTGTCTTTTCAGGCACTACAAGGGCTCCCAGAGATGGGGAGGTCCCTGGAGTAGACTATAATTTCATTCCTGTTGAGCAGTTTAAAGCACTGGAAGAAAGCGGAGCCTTGCTAGAAAGTGGAACATATGATGGTACGTTGATGACGTTTGATGGAGCGGGAATAAGGACCCAGTACTCGTGTCCAGTATCTTGGTCTTAAGTGTAGCTCCTTGTACCCAGGAGGTGCCACTTTTCCTGCCCGTTGATGGTCATTACACTAGCAGAGTGGCAATATTAAATCTATTTTTGGAGTGCTTGTGAAGAGGAGGAGTGTCTGGTTTTGAAGGTCTCTAGTAAATCACAAATTGTCCTTTCAACCAGTCTTAATGCAATCTGATTATTTTCCCTTTTGTGTTTTTGAGGAAGCATTCCGAAAATGTTTGTCTATGCTTGGTAGAGTTTTGTTTTAATGGAATTCAGTCAATTTTGCTTAAACTTTTGTGAACAGAGCCATGTTCTTCTCGGAAGTGCACATCAGAAGGACAGAAGGCAAGGGAAATTCTGATGCAGCAGGGATAAAAAAAGAATTTTGTAATGAAAAATTGAACAGTGCTAGACCAAGTTGTCCAAATCTGTAGCAGCGTTGTTTTTGTTAAATGTGATGGGGAAAAACATTGTAGTGAAGTTGGTGAACCGTCAAGAACCGGTTATCCAGAGGAGTCGTGGAGCTGCCATCCAGTGATGGACTTTTGCTTTGCTTTGCTTTGCTTTGTTTTAAAGGGCTCAGTGGCCATCAGCGATAACTTCAAGGTTCCTCACATCCCTGTACTCCAGGCTGGGGGATGGACCCAAACCCACCTGTGTTTAAAGTGGGAGGGAGGAGGTACCAGTCGGACTGGCTCAGCCCGGGGGTCTCTGGTGCCCTGGTTGCTTCTTACTGTTGAGTGGTGAACAGAACAAATTGCAAACATCTCACGTTGCTTTTTGTACATGAGTTTATAAAACCTGCAATACGATCTGGCTAGATTTTTTTCAAACATGTGGTTGTATTTGACGTCAGCTAAATTACAGCCAAATTTTCGGAAATGCTGAGCATGTGCAGCCTTCATTGATGCTCAACGGAATTTACCAGATTATAAACCTGCCTGACCTGCCCGAGTTCCACATATGTTCAACGTATATTTGATTCAAGCAACTTTAAGAATGCATCTAGAGGACTTCTTTGACAGGTGATGTTTTTACTGGCACTTGAATGAACTTGGATTGATTCTGTCCTTGCCCCCCCCCAAAAAAAAAAAAAAGAGAAAAAGAAAATGTCCAAAGTAGAAAATCCTGTGGAAGGCTCTGGACCTCCTCGTTTTACGTCTTACAGTATTTATGGAAATCTCCTAAGCAAATTTAGACTAAACTAGCACTTTGTTTCTCCCTCAGCTCCCCTTATCTGGCTGTCACTGCCCCGAGCCTCGCCCTCGCTGATATTTTCAGAAGGATTTCTTACTTGGTCAAAGCCATATCCAGCCACTAAATGTTACCCCAGCAAGAATTCTGGGAAGCTTTCTCGCTGTGTGCTCAATTCCCTAATAAAAATCATATGAGCAGTCAGGAGAGAGGTCAACTGCTGAAATTCTTTTCCAGAAAACAGCAGACGATTCCTAGTCTTTGTGTTTTAGATTAAGCTATTGAAGTAAAAATCTGTTCCTTTTTCTCAAGAACGAATCGTTTTTAGGTGAAGCTATATAAACAGCTTTGTTTACCAAGTGCATTGTCAGAAAATTGTAGGACTGTACTTTTAAAATCAATTATTTATAACTGGTTTTATGCAAATAGATGCTTCATGTTTCTGTACAAAATTAATTTGCTTTTTTACTTTAATGTGTTTCTGTTGCTGCGTGTTACTGTTAATCAGTTAACCAGTATATAGAGTAAGAAAAATGGATTTTCACTGTTTTGCTTCTCTCAGACTGTTCCCCATGTCTCTGTAAGGAGCATTAGTGAATTCCAGGCAAAGTAACAAATCCGACTTTTTCCTTTAAACCATGTGGCAGGCTAGAAATTTTGAACTAAACCTCTTGTTCTCTGATGTCCAATAGCATCATTGGCAAAAGGACAGTGCAGGAATAAATAGGCTGTGACTGCTGACTGGTTGGTGATAGTGCTGGTGTCTTCTTTACAGGTTACAGCTCAGGCCTTTCACCAAACACGTTACGGGGCAGTCAGCCCCTTGCTGCCACTGCAGAGCTTCCAGCCAGTGTCAGTGCTTAGTGATCCTCATTTCTGTCTCGTTGCCAGGTAACTTTTACGGCACTCCGAAGCCTCCGGCGGAGCCCAGCCCCTTCCAGCCCGATCCAGTGGATCAAGTTCTTTTTGACAATGACTTTGACACCGAATCACAGAGGAAAAGAACCACATCTGTCAGCAAAATGCAAAGGATGGACAGTTCTCTCCCTGAAGAGGAGGAGGAGGAGGAAAAGGAAGCAGTGAATGGCAGCGGAGGGATAGGTTGGTTGACAAGGGGAGGAATTCCCCGAAGTGTTGTAGGAACGGATGAGGAGTATATGAATAACATTCATGTTTGCTTGAACTGCCTCCTTAATCTGGGGAAAGTTTGAAGGTGGTTTTCTATTCAAACTGGTATTTTTACTCAATTTTGAAATTATGTTTTAAAAAGAAACAGCTGTTCTCCAGCCAGATGTGCAATTGCATCATGAAATGCACTGCTCAGTAGAGAACATGGAGTGCTGGGTATCGGCCAGTGTCATGAGGAGGAAGGAAAAATTTATCCACTCTTCAAATAATGGAATCCTTTGCAGAGTATAATTCATGCTCTGTAAATGTTATTCTTTAATTTTGAGGAGATTACTGAATTCGTGTGCGGGAGATTTTAGCGAAGCGATTGGTTTAAGGGGCTGCACCGGCTCACGCTGTGGGATGTTCCGATGATTTTGGTGAAGGGAACTGTCGCACAACCTGAAACTGCCTCGAGGGGAGTTTGTGGAGGGGAATAAAGCAGGGAGTGTTGAGACTGGACCGGTGTCCGGTTGGACGTTTCGGAGATGGGCGGGATGCCCTTCGCCTTGCGCTGTCGTGGTTACTCATCTCGGGGGGGAAGAACTGGCGGTGGAGAGAAGCGGTCACGTTGCACTCGCAGACGATCCTGTGGGAGGGCTTAAGACAGGCTTACACTGACCAGACCTGCCCTAATCTTGCAGACTTCGGGGCCGGCAGCCCCCGGCCGAGAGCGGCCCATGGCCAGGCTGGTGGGTGGTGAAGGCCACGGACATGGTGGAGGGCACTGAGCGCAGCCTTGGGATGGAGCGGGGGGGTCGTGGGGATTTTCAGGAGCTTTTTCTTGTCGTGCCTCGTGGGAGGGTGGTGATTGTTTTATTGGCAGCTTGGGTCTTCTCTGCGTTTCACTCTGGTGCTTTGAGGAATGTTAGTGGGGTTTTGGGGGCGGCTTCGATGGCGTCGCAAACGCTGTTGGCTGCGCAGGGACGGCAGCAGAGCGCGGTCAGCTTGGGCTTCTGCCAGCGCTGAGCTTCCAGCGTGGGCTCAGGCACAGAATACGAGGTTAATTCTGTCTGGCAGGAGAAGAGCAGAGTTCAGGGGTTTCATGTCAGCTTTTCAAAGTTCGTAGCTAAAAAAAAAAAAGTGGAAAAATGCACATCACACACAGGGACGTGTTCGACATCCACTCGTAGCCAGATTAAGAGGGTGTTTCTGTGTGAGAAGCAACATAAACATCTGACAAATAGTAACACTTTCCCTGAACAACTGCAGAAAACAAAGAAAAACATTCAGATTCTCCTGACTGGATGAAACCTGTTCCCAGCTACAACCAGACAAGCAGCTCCATGGACTTCAGAAATTACTTGTCGAGGGATGAAACCCTGGAACCCCTGCCCAAGAACTGGGAGATGGCCTACACCGACACCGGCATGATCTACTTCATCGAGTGAGTAGACCGACACCACGGAGGGATGGCTGTGCCCTGGGGAGGAGAGAAGTGCTCATGGGCTGCCCTTTAGGAAGCTGCCTGCTGCTCTAACACCTCTCTCCTGCTCTTACTGCTTCTATTTCTGCATGATATTTTATAATAAATATTCCTACAGTTTCATTCCTTACTGATGATCATCTGTGCTGCATACTTGGTACAATTGCTGTCGCACAGGAAAGCCTTATGGTTCCACGGGCAAAGTCAGTCTGTTTGTAATAGGAGTCTTGTGCCTCACAAAATATAAAGCTGGGTGGGTATTGCTGGGTGAGGTATAACGTCATATAAACCTTCACTATGTCTAGTTTCTCTGAAATCGAGAGCTCGGTTATTCTTTCTTCGCTGCTTACATTCCTTGGCTGGGAATGTGTGCTTAAAAATACAAATAGCACAGATTAAAGCCCAGGATAGGAAAGTAGCTCATAAGAGCCCATGTGAAACAGCCTCGTTTATTAATTTCTAAAGGAAGCAAAAACCTTACTGGGAGTTAAGCATAAGAAGAGGCTAAAAATGTTTTTTTCCTTTCAGGTAGAAACAGCTAATGTTCTCACATGAGCTCTTGGGGCCAGGGGAGAGTGTTGGTACCTCTAATGTTTCACATCTGTCCTGGAAGAGCACCCGGTGTGCTCATACCTCAGAGCATCACTGTTGCCTTCTTTTAGAGTTTTATGACGTGACTGAGGCAAAAATAAAAGTCACATTATCTAAAGGCTACAGTTGCTCATGGTAGTAAACATTTAAAAGTTAAAGTAAAGCAAAGTTTCTTCAGTCAGAGTTTTCTTCTAATGGGATATATTCTGCTCCACAGTCATAACACCAAGACAACCACGTGGCTTGATCCGCGGCTCTGTAAGAAAGCCAAAGCTCCTGAAGATTGTGAAGATGGAGGTGAGATGTTCAGAATTCATTTGTCACCTGTGACTGATAAATGTCTGAGTTTGTCACAGCTGGATATGACCCATTATTGCTGTTGAAGAAGCTTCTTCCTGACACACACGGCTCTGGAGCTGGCGGTGTGGTGTGGAGGGTCCCCAGTGTGCTGGCAGCAGGAGTTTACATAAGACTGGGAGAGTCCATGTTGTATTTTCCCTGGAGTAACAGAATCTGACTGAATCGTGGGTTTGTCTGCGTTCCTGAGACCAGGCTGAGATATTTGTTCCAGTAACCATCATTGCTGGGGAGAACCCTGTGTATATTAGTGACGAACTCACTGGAAATTGTGCGGGAGGAGTGTAGCAGGAGGAGAAGGTCCGTAAGCGTTAGAGTATAGGTCTAATGAAGAAGATAAGGTGTAATACCTGTTGCTAATGATACCTATTGCACGTGACATGATACAATATTTGAATGCATAAGTAGAAGAAACAATCTGACTCTCTTCAACTCTTCACTATTGCTTCAAGACTTGCAGGTCAGGTTCATGACTGGCCCTACAGACAATTCCTGCAACCTTTTCCTGCATAGTCACACAATCTATCAGCTAGAAAAGAGTACCAAATAGCTCTGTCTTCAGCAAGTGCCCAACACGTTACAAAAGCTGAGGCAGCTTCAGAATAGCCCGTTGTTCTCCTAAATTGCACAGCCTAACAATCAGGAGCTCATAGCAAAGCCAGCTGGAGCAATGGGCACGTACTGCTGCTTATTAAACATGTGTGCAGCTCACCATAGGATAAAAAGAGCACTTTAAACAGAGAGATGCAGGATATCCAAATGAGCAACACTTAAATGAATAGACCCACTGGGTCTTTTGTCAAACCCGGTGGAGTGATGCTGGTATTAATAATTGGTAACATGCTGTCATGCACTAGGAGAATTCCTGTTACTGTCAAACTTAGGGCAGCCTCAAACAAGATTATGTAGCAATTTTATCCTCCAAATGTCTGGCTACCTGACTGCATCCATTACTCTAATATTTAAATTTCGATGGTCAAGATAACTAGAACAGTGAAGCCAGCATAATGGGACCTCTGTGTTAACTGCTGAACACCTTCACTCGGTAACGACCTGCTGCTGGGCACCATCTTACCAGATTCTGAATCTGCCCTAAAAAGGAGCTTTTCACATATAATTTTCAGTACCTATATAAAACAAGTGATTTTTTATTTTAGACCACTGACGTAGGGAAGTCCAAGGCAGCCCAAGCGCGAGCCGCTGCCAGCCCGCTCGCCGCAGCTGCGAGAGCAGTCGGGCTGCAGCAGCACAGAACCGCTTTCCGCCGCCGTGGCAGGGCAGGCGGCCTGTGCTGCGTTTGGTGTGGCCGGAGCTGGGCACCTGCCAGCTGGTTTTGGGCTGTCCCTCTGGTTGTAAACATCAGGGTGAAATACCCTGCCATGGTGGGGGTCTCTTCTAACTCGTCACGAGTGGCTGTTACAGTTGTGACCTCTGAAACTTGCAGATAGTTTTCCACTGTAATGGAGAATTTTGTTCTTTTTGATTGCAGAACTTCCTTACGGGTGGGAAAAAATAGAAGACCCTCAATACGGAACATACTATGTTGAGTAAGTGCTAATTACTAATATGACATAGTTATAAATAGAGCAGAAAATAATGAAACGCTCGATACGAGGTGTGTGTAGTTTGTAATGCAATGTAAGTAACTACTAACTTGCTGCAAGAGCTCTTGTGAATCTCCTTCAGGTCAGAGTAAATGAAATCTCTCTTTAACTGTGGAAAAGAAAATTAGTAGAGTTGAAAACGTTGGCTTCAGAGGACAAGCTAACGCTTTTTGGCTTTGCAGAGCCAACACAGGTATTTCAGTTCTGCCCAAACTCACGGGTGTTTTCCACTCTGCACTACTCTGACAACTGCTCTGCCATTTACTAGTAAAAAGGCAATGCCTGAGTTTGTAAACATTTTAGGTAGATGGAAGCAACACGTAGTGTCAAGAGAAAAAGCAGGTTTTCTCAGTTCTGATCTATCCCAACCTTTTGAAAATTTGCAGAGTGGAATGAAGGTGTACTGTACCCAGTAGGTACAGGGAGTAAAATTGTATTGGCTCTTAAAGTAAATCAAGTTATTGAGAGAACAAAAATGCTTTCAGTGTTGTTTATGATAGTTTGTTGTTCATTCCTCCAGAGCATTAATCTGAGATAATAAAAAGTAGTATTTGTAGATGTATCTTCTGTGGTTGTCTGTTCTGTGAAATAGGCAGGATGCTTTCTGCTGAAATCCTGATCTGCCTTTTGTATGTCTACAGTCACATTAACCAGAAAACTCAGTTTGAAAACCCAGTATTGGAAGCCAAAAGGAAAAAACAGCTAGGACAGACTGATGTTGGCCCTTCAAAATCAGGTATGGCTGAATATTGGAATATTGTGTTCCTTGTCACTAATACCTTCATCTGCAATTATGCGTCATAACCAACTGATTTTGCAATTCATCGAGGTGTTAAGTCTTGTCATTTTGCTGCCCATTGGGGTCTCCCAAATCTTTAGGATTTTTTGTATGATTTTTTAATGTTAAAATTGAACTGAGACCCCTAAGACTGATTTAAAATCATTTTGATTGTTCTGAAGCTGGATGTCATGAGCAGCTTTTGAATATATGGAAGGTTAGAAGAGCCATCCGGAAGGTGCAGGTAGAACCACACCTTGAATTTTTGTGCTTTTGATCTACTTTAAGCTTGGTATTCAAGGGTTAGGGTGTAAAACTGGGAGTTATAGGTGGGAGCTTTAGTTCCAGCTCTGCCGTAGTCTGTACTGTGTTCTTGAAAACACTCTTGACTTTCCTGTTCACTTAACTCAGCTGTGAAATGAGCTGAATATTTTGTTTGTTTGTTTTCTCCGTAACCGTGCTGCAGAGGTTAACCAATGTGAACCAAACCAACCATTAACCTTTATGGCACCTTAAAAACAAACAAACAACTTACCAAAACTAACCCTGGTTTCCTGCCTTCTTGTCTATTCCATAATTCGAAAGGACCAGAGAAGTCTGCCTTCACCAGAGATCCATCCCAGCTCACCGGGGCACTTATACGGACGTCGCTGAAGAAAAGTACCATGGGGTTTGGCTTTACAATCATCGGAGGGGACAGACCCGATGAGTTTCTCCAGGTGAAGAATGTCTTGAAAGATGGACCCGCTGCACAAGATGGGAGAATTGCACCAGGTAATGTGTTATTTCTCTAAACTTCCTTTTCCTGTGGTGTTTGTAGAGAACGCAGCTTTTGAGGCACAGGAGGTTGGATGACTCTGTCCGCTGACTCTGAGTGTGAGCATCTCACTAAATGAAACAATTCCTGGATTTGTGAAAGATCTGTGCAGAGCAGTGGCTGAAAAGGAAAAGCAGCAATGCTCTAGATACAAATCTACTTTGGGCACACTTCTGAGGGTTTCAGGACATCTGCTTTGGCCAAGACTTTCAGCTTCATGATTGTTTACAGAATGTTTTTCGTTCCCTCTCTACACATAAAGTAAAAATAGTGTATTTGAGTCATGGTCTGTGTTTTGCCTTGCTGCTGTCAAAAAACATAACATCGAATATTAAAATTGCAAAAATTTCAGGAATGAGTAAGCAAAGCTGTAGGAACTGGACAAGTGAGGAAACAAGAGGGATGAGAGCACCTGCATTCCATGAAGAATTGCACACTTTTTCATTGTTATTAAATGTTTAAGTTACCTATAAGCTTACTGTAACATACAGTTTACATTCTAAAAAAGGCAAAATGCTTCTTTACTTCTCACATAAACTCTCTTACTCTTCAGAGAAGAAGAGTAAGAAGAGTTTATGCTTTCGATCATTTAATACCATTTACTTATGGAATGAAACAATTTCCTGCCTCGTGGCTGACCTGTTGTTTGAGCTGGTTTGTACACGGTTCAGTTTCCTCCCCTGTCAAAACGAGGACGATCCTGCAGCGTTGCGCCGTGGTGCGCACGCATGTTTGCACGTGGAGTGTGTATCTGTTCCTGTTGTGGTTCATGAAACAAGAGTTGCTGCTTGAGTGGTGCCCAGGCGTTGAAGGGATAAGACAGTTTGCTTGCTGGGAGTGTTGTATTGCACATGCAAAGTTTCATGATCAGAATGATGCAAATTACGACGCAAAGTTCCAGGATCTGAAGCCCACTTCTGCTTCGTGTTGAAAGTACGTGCTCGGCCACGCGTGGCAACAGCGTAAGAGTGCGGAACGTGTGTGGGCGCAATCCTGGCTTAAGTTCAGCCATTCCTAAAATAAACATAGGACCCCTGGCAAAACAATCCGATTTATTCTGCGTTGAGTTTAGGGTGCTGTACAATATGAGTTAAAGTAGAAGACATCTGGTTGCAGTAGTGTGCGTGCACTGCTTCATCTCCTGTGGCTGTACAGTATCATTTTATAAATCTGCTGCAGATTAAACTTTATATATTTAGCACGCTGTGTTCTGAGATGAAATAGAATAGATGCAAAGAGGAAATCCTTTCTGCTTTTTGGCAACAGATAGCCAAGAGGTAATAGCCCAGCCGCCGTTCGTTATCAGTTGTGAAGACTGCACAGCGATTCCCTCCAGTGAGGCTTTTGTTCAGAGCCTCAGGACAACACTGGACAGGTGTGGGTGGTTTCGTTTCTGTTCCTGACACTGTTGAACTTTCTTTTGTTGCAGGTGATGTCATTGTAGACATAAATGGAAGTTGTGTCCTTGGCCATACCCATGCAGATGTTGTCCAGATGTTTCAGCTAGTTCCTGTCAATCAGTATGTGAACATGACTTTGTGTCGTGGTTATCCTCTTCCTGACGACAATGAAGACCCTGTGGTAGATATCGTGACAGCCACACCTATCATCAACGGACCGCCTGTGACCAAAGGAGATGTTTGTGTGACCAGCCAAGATTTAATAGCAGGAGCAGTTGTGTTGGACCAGAATGGAAAAATGGGCCCTATGTTGGTCAATGGTCGTCTGAATGGCCCTTCCATGGATACAACTGAGCAGAGGATCTCTCTTGCATCTTCAGGAGGCTCTCAGCCAGAGCTGGTCACCATTCCTCTAGTCAAAGGTCCTAAAGGCTTTGGGTTTGCCATTGCAGATGGTCCTACGGGACAGAAGGTGAAAATGATTTTAGACAGCCAGTGGTGCCAAGGCCTTCAGAAAGGGGACGTGATCAAGGAGATCTGCCATCAGAACGTACAGAGCTTGACACATCTGCAGGTGGTGGAGGTACTGAAGCAGTTTCCAGTAGGAGCAGAGGTGCCACTGCTTATCTTACGAGGAGGTACATACATAAATTTACAGTTGTCATGTATGGTTATATGCTTTTCAAAAGTCTCCTTTTAGTGTGATGTCTAAATCATGTCCAGTCTCGACAGCTAAGTAGCAGCTTCTTATGTCTCTGAGCTGTTACGTTCTAAATTTCGTTTATACCCTTGAGTATTTGGGGTGAGAGCATGTTGCTAGGATTTGGTTTTTTTCCCAAAGAATTTATTATGATACGTTATGCACTGTCTCTTCCAAGTGTCTGGGGAATGTTAAAGCAAAAATGCAGTCTCTAGCGTGATACAAAGTGTGTGATGGATAGAGTTTTCTGAGGCTCTCCAGATGTATTCCAGTGACTGGAGCTGTAATCGACAGGTGATTACAGGAGACAGGAAGAAGCATCAGCAGTGAGGTGGAGCTGATCACTGGAAATAACAGAAAAATTCTCATTTTTGCATTTACATATTAATACTTCTTCATTGACTAACTTCACTAACCAGAACATGTCTTCTCCCCAAAAGCTGACTAGTAGGTAGTGTCCATTTGCCAGAAGGAGCCGCATGAATTATGAAGCAACACGTGGCTGCTTAGTGTCCCTTCAAACTTTTATTGTAGCCCTGAGAGTGTCACTTCAAACACTCACCGACATTGGCAAAAATCTTCAGGTCTTTTTCTGTATAAGTGGTGCTATTCCTTAATCAGCTCAGGAAATAATGGGATCTCTTGGAAGCGAGTGAAATTCCTCTAGACAAATTCACAAAGTCTCCTTGTCCATGAACTGATGTGTGACTTGGTTGACCAGTGTCTAGCAAGAAGAGAAATAGATGTTTTTCGTTGTTGTACAGCTAGCAATTCTAACTTGAGAATTCTCTGAAGTGATGTTTTTGGTCGACTGAACATGCATTTTGCCGTTTGAAAGGAGAGTGAATAAGCAGTTGTTATTGTCAGCCCAGGAGGAGCTGATTATTTTGCCTTAATGCTGTTGAAACTTTTGGTGACCCAGCAGTGAAATTGCTTTCTGCGTTGTGTTTTCTTCAGGTCCACCCTCACCTACTAAAACTGCCAAAGGGGTGAGTATTGGAGATATATTTAAATTTGTTTCTGATGGAGAATACTCAGGGGTTTTTCTTTGCAAAACAGACACGTAGATGTGGTCTGCTTGCCCCAAAAGATTCTGTTGAGTTGTTTAATGGAGGTGATGGATCTCTCTCTCTGCTTAGTACTCGGAAGGGCTGTGCCCAGTACAGTGTGCAGGTTCCGTCCCCTGCCAGTGTGCAGCTGCCCACGCTAAAGACATGGGCACACACATCTCTGGTG